GATGGCTGTTCACACTAGACGGATGCCAGTCCCTCTAGTGTGGACGGTCGTCCAAAGTACATGGATGGCCGTCTGCATTACATAAACTGGCGTCCATACTTTGTTGAAAAAATATTTTGTTTAATATTAATGAATGGCTGATGGGAATGCAAAATGTCATATTTAACCCCCTTAATGTTTAGTCTTTTATATGTATTTGTTTCCTAATTGTACTCATTATTACTTTATTTTGGTTTAGGAAGCAAATGGAGGTGTTAATTGAAAAACGGAATTAATTAGGGGAATTCGGACAGTTTCACCACTGCTTCGTATTTTGGGCATAATTCTCTCATCTGAGCTCCGATTGAGATGATTCGAAATGCTGTGAAACGCTAAGAAAGAGATATACAACTTTCATGTTTTGAGTTTTTAGAGATACTGGCTGAATAAAGGTTGTAATCGAGCTTGAAGTTGACGCACCTACATTGCCGACGTCCTGGAGTGTTCTGACTTGTTATGCAAGTCAGTCTATTATTGCACATTTTGAAGACATACATGCTGCACGAAAATTACAGCTGGAAACACCACTTTCCTTTTTTTTTAGGACTCTATCTTATTTTAAATTAATTATAATTAAATTAGGATCAATGTTATTTTAGGATATGAGAATATCTCTTTTAGGAGATTTAGTGGGATTCAAACACTTGAATCTGGATTTTTGCTAAAGGGATCAGATTAGGGTTTTGGAGGGGACCACGCCTCTCTCTTGTCCTCTCTGGAATCTTTCTTTCTCTTTTGAGTTTTTGTTATGGCCATGAGCGGCTAGAACTTTTGTAATTTGGTCGAAGGAAACGGAAACCTCGGAATCAAATAAACTGTGAGATCTTTCTGTTTTTAGTGTTAAATTCATGTTTGAGTATTGAATGTTATTCTGTGCATATTTTCATGATTGGTGCATTTAATTACTAGGAGGCCTACTAGTGTATTATTTTTTGAAATCTACTGCTAAGTTTGATATCAAATCCGTAATTGTTTGATCCTTCCAACTTGTGAAGCAATTAGGGTTAGTAATTTGCTGCATCAGGAATTAGTAACCTTACGAATAACATTCAACTAAATTAAATACAACTGCTTGTGTTTGTGTTGTTTAGCTTCATCGATCTCTCTAATTCTTAAGGCTGCCACTAGATTAAATCTTGAGCGCTTGTCTAGGGTTGTTTAGGGGTAAGATTAATTAGGATCGCTTGTTTCCTGATTAATTACAATTAAGGAGAGATAGGAAATTAGTTCCAACGGTGAATATTCAATGTGTGAATTGATTATCTTTGCATCAATGATCAGTTGTAAGATTCCGATGGTGGATGTTGACAGAGACCAAGTTCGTCATTTTGATTGAATTCGAATTAAATTGTTTTTGTTTTTGCTGAGATTGTTTTCTGTTTTTACACAAACCCCCCAGCCTTTTTCACATTAAAGAAAATTCGGCTAGACACTCTTCGTGGGATCGACCCTTGCTTACCTTATTTACAGTTCAGTAGTTAGGTTCGGAAGGTTTTAATTCTGGGTGCCTACGACAGCACGCCAATGGCTTGTCTAATACGCTTCATTTGTAAGAGCCAAATTTTTTTTCTTCTCTTCTCCTTTGTCTGCGTCATTTGCTTTTCTTCGCTTCTCCTTCATTTGCGTGTTGTGTTTCCTTGCTTCGACGCCAGTTTGTTCCTCAACAGCCAAGGAGCAGCAGCAAGACCTCTTTTTATAGAGATAACCAAGAAACAAAAATAAGGATATCAAACCTTTTAAAGCTTGGAATTTTTTGTTAAGGTAAAGAATTTTTGACTTATTTTATATATTCATTTAGTTTCATATTCTATTTTGGATTGAATATATGTTTGATAGATAATATTTGTTGGTGACTGTTGTGAACTAGATTCGTGAATGCGAAAATTGCCATTAGTTGTGCATGAAATAACGAAATATGGAAGAGTCTAGTTTGTCTCGTTTCAATGATGTTGAGGTAAATTGTGTTTGAAACTTTTTTAAATGTGATATATTGTATTTTTTATTATGATGTGTTGTATTAGCACAATCTAATTTTGTTTATTATAAAACCATTGAATCAGGAAAATGAATGTGATGAATTAGAAGATACGGGATGTGCAGAGGAAGAAGTGGAGCCTCATATTGGAATAATGTTTGATTCAGTTGATAGTTTAGTGAAGTATTACAGAAGGTATGGGAATAAAATGGGTTTTGAAGCAATGATACGTACGTCAAAGAAAGGAGATGATGGGGAGATGAGATACGTGACAGTGGCATGTTCTTGTTATGGGAATGAGAGAAGTAAACGTAGAAATACCTTGAAAAAACAACCTGTTGCAAAAACAGATTGTAGGATTCGGATTAGTGCAGCTTTGAATGGTGAATACAAATGGGAAATTAAATCAGTTGTACTTGAACATAAGCATGATCTTACAAGTCCGACGAAAAGAAGATATTTCAAGGTAAACCCAACTATACAGCCTTTTGTGAAAAGGAGGCTTGAAGTTAATGATCAGGCTGAGATTAGACCGTGTAAAAATTTTCAGTCATGTTCAGTTGAGGCAGGAGGTGTAGAGAATTTGGCATTTTTACAAAAAGATTGTAGGAATTATATTGAAAAGGCTACGACTTGGAGTTGGAGATGCTTCGACAGTACTAGAGTATTTTTTGAAAATGCAAAAGAAGAATTCAAAGTTTTGGTACGTGATTGATGTAGATGAAGATAGTCGATCAAAGAATGTGCTATGGGTTGATGCTAGATGTAGGGCCGCATATAAAGATTACGGTGACATTGTGACCTTCGACACAATGTATCTGACGAACAAGTATGATATGCCATTTGCTGCTTTTGTGGGGGTTGATCATCATGGACATTCGACATTGTTAGGTTGTGGGTTAATTTCACATGAGGACACAAAGACATTTGTATGGTTATTTCATTCTTGGCTTGAATGCATGGATGTTGCTCCTAATGGAATTATCACTGATCAAGATAAGGCCATGCAAAATGCAATTGAGATTGTTTTCCCTTGTACAAGACATAGGTGGTGTTTGTGGCATATAATGAAGAAACTGCCTGAGAAGTTAAGAGGGTATAACGAATATGAAACTATAAAGTTTACGTTACAAAATATTGTGTATGATTCTTTGACACGTGAAGAGTTCGAAGAACGGTGGAACAAATTCATTGATGTGTATAACCTTCATAAGAATGAATGGTTATCTGGATTGTATAAAGAAAGAGTACGTTGGGTGCCTGCATTTCTTAAAAATACTTTCTGGGCAGGTATGTCTACTACCCAACGTAGTGAAAGTATGCATGCATTTTTCGATGGATATGTAAATTCCAAAACAACATTGAAACAATTTGTGGAACAATATGATAATGCATTGCGAGATAAAATGGAAAAGGAAATGGAGGCTTATTTTAGATCTTTCAAGTCTTGGATACCATGCATAACTAATTACCCTATTGAGAAACAATTTCAAAATGCATACACAACTGCAAAATTTAAAGAGTTTCAAGAAGAGATTGCGGGGAAGATTTATTGTGAATTATCTTTTATGAAAAAGTCCGATTCGTATGAGGAGTATCAAGTTTTAGAAGATGTTTGGTTTGGAGATAGTAATCGGCGTGTTCCCTTTCTGGTATACTTTGAAGAAAGTTCATGTGATATTCGTTGTAATTGTCATTTGTTTGAGTTCAAAAGGATTTTATACAGACATGTCGTTATTGTGTTGATTCATAAAAGGGTTTCACACATTCCAGACAAGTACATTCTACGGCTTTGGAGGAAAAACATAAAAAGATGTCATATGAAAATCAAGGTAAGTTATAATAGGTGGAGCACAAACGTTGAAGGAAAATGTTTTGAGAAGTTGTCTAATCTAATGCTGACAGTAGCTGATATGCATCAAACAATAAGGAAGACTATAACATGTTGATGGAATTGATGACTGGCATGAGAAATAAGTTAGAGCAGAAGGAAAGTGAGGGAGGGCTTGGTAGTAAAGAAGGGGACAATCCTCCGAAAGAAGGGAATAGTCTAATTATTAGTCCACGGGTAGCTCGCAGCAAAGGTCATCCTCCACGCAAAAGAAAGCAATCGAAGGTTGACGAAATTGTACGTAGGGGTAAAAATAAAAAATTGCGAAAACAAAGACTTGGTATGAGTTATACACCCATTCTGACATGATATTTGTTTTTGAAACATTATTTACTTATTTGATGTTTATAATAATATTTACTTGATTATTAATGTGTTATGCTACTTTATAGGGAAAGAATCATTAGCAGAGCGGGACAACATTGCTGAAAGTGTACCAGGAACTCAAGTGTTGTCAAATGATGTTGTTGCTACTCAGGTATGTGTTATGTTTGTTGTATAATTGTAAAAACCTTAAGTTTTTTATAACATGTGCTAAATTGTGGTTATTAAACATTGACAGTTGTCCACTGGTCCGGTTCAGAATCTCACAGGAAATAGTAATTTATGTACTGGACAGGAGGATGTAAATGATGAACATGTTTCGTTGGGAGAGATTTGATATCATTAACCGGTAGAAGCACATAGATTTGTATTCGGTAGAAATTATTCGCGTTGTGGTTAATTTCTGACAAATGCAGTTGAGCTATATGCTGATTCAGTTGTTTTGTTTTTATTATTTTTGTTGTTGTTGGGTAAGAGTAGGCTGTTGGTTGTAGGGTGCTGAATTCATAATAATAACGTAAATGTATATATTATCCTTATCTTGAATGTTTTCAGTATATATTATCGTCACATTTCAGTATATATTATTCTACATTTCATTTGAGATTTTAATTTTGATATGTCTTTTGGTATGTTTAGTATTACATATACATGAGCATTCAGATATGTATTGAACAATAATTAATGATATGATACTGTGACAAATATAATCTTCGTACATAACATTCATACTGAGAATTAACATTCATATGATATTGGAGAAGTTCAGCTAATTGACAACATCTTGTGAAATCAAACTTTATTAATTAACATATTTGCGTACATACAGTTTAGTATCTGAACTACACATAATGATAATTAACATTCATAGTGTGTTCCCCAAGGATGTTGAGAAGGTGGAGGTTGTTCAGTAGTTCTTCATCCTAATGTAAAGGGCCGAGGTTGACTGAAGGAGGAGGACGCTGGTGAAAATTTCTTCATCATGTTGGATATTTCTGTCATGCGTTCCCCAAGGATGTCAACCGTTTCTTCTATTCTTGATGCGAACGAGTTGAAATCACTTTGCAACTGATCCTGTTGTTCCTGCATTTTTCTCTTAATACGTGAAAAACTCTATTCTTGAAACTTTTCGATCCGATCAATTCTGCTTACTATTTTGTCTAAAGTATGAGAAGACATTTCTTCCACATTCTGAGAAGATCCAGGTTCAATACTCGTTCTTCTTCTTTTGCGCACATAGACTCGTCCTTCATTTTCCCTTTCTGGAATAGGGACACCTTCCTGAACCGTTGCCTCTTCCTCTATTTCATCCCTAATCAGCAATCATTCTCTTGACACATTCTTTTTAATCAAACCCATTTTAGACAATGTGACATTCCCCAACAAATTATTTGCAGAAAATGTTATCTTATTGGCTTCATCTGAAAGGGTGATCTCAAAACCCAACTTTTCACACATTAGCGTAACAAGCATCCCCCAATAAATGTCACATTTTTCTGCTTTAATCTCTCCCAACTTCTTAATCAATAACTTTGCTAAATTTACTTGCTTCCTTGTTATTGCTGCTTCCATCAACAATAAATCCTTGACTGTCACATTTCAATTTGTCTCTTTCCTGCCATTAAATGTGAATGTCAGAAATCTGTGAAAAACTCTCATGGCAGGATTCTTTAACTTTGTAGATTTACACCTATGTGGATGATAAACCCCTATTCTAGAAACATCTGTCCAAGCTTGTTTGGAATCCCACGTTCTGGATACATTATCCAAACCTTCAAAATCAATCTCTATCCAGTTTGATAAGTCCTGTGGCCTCACTACACAATTCTGATTCTTTAATCTAAAAAAATTGTATACGCCAAAAAATCATCAGTACTTGTCTCCACAACTTCCAAACTACTAAAAAACTCATAAATCAAATGCTTATATCCGTCATATCTAATACTCACCAACTGGTCCCATTTCAAATTACAGATCCAACCATTAATCTCATCACCTAAACCCAAACTAGTTATAAATCCTAAATCTAAACTTCTTCCAAGACAAATATCTCTTTTCGTCATCTCTTTGTATTGTTTTTTATGTTGTACGTCTCGAAATTGGACTCCGGATAATGATGTGCCTCCATGAGGAATGGTTTGTGTTTTTTGTTCTTACCATCTTTTGCTTTCTTCTAAAACCAGCAACTTCCTAGAAAAAACATATCCATAAGTAATTCATGTTATATGACAACAGACAACTTCATGTTATATGACATAATTGATATGTCTGACGTGGATAAATGCCAATTATGGGAAAAAAAGATGCAAGCTGAGTTGAACACTAAAAATAAGCATTTAAGTTGACTGTAATACACATTCATGGGGTAAAAAAGATTCCTTAGCCAGTATATTCAACTTTGGGCATGTTAAAACAATCCATCTAACACAAGTTCAGGTAGATTCTATCATGATTATCAGGAGACATAATGAAAAGCACATGGGCCCGTAAATCAGCCTAACTAATAACAACCCCAAGCTCTATAAGACCACACCAGGGAGAAATGAAAGATATCCACTTTGTGCTAAACTAAAATCATTTCAAAATTTTCCCCACACATAAATTTTATTACAGGAGCACCTATATTCTCTAATATGGACCAGAGTCACTAACTGAATGCCTACATTTAGGCCAGGGCATGAGCAAAGTGGAATGGTATAGCGAGGTTCATGATTTAGCTTGAAGCAAGCTCAGCCAATTAATCTCTTTATTGTTTTTAATTCAAACTGGGAAAATGAGGCAACCACTTGATCTCCCAAAGAAAACTTCGTCAAAAAACAACATTCACAGCAAAACAGGAGCTCCAAAATTGAAGAAAAACCAGGTCATACAAGAGACATCAAATCCTCAAAGTCACCAAATGCACAATTAATAAAAGCTACAAAACTCAGATGAACAACCTAGATTCATTAAATCTAAAACACAGCACAACTTCACAACTTTCAAAAACCCAAATCTCATAAACAAGCCATGAATTCAACCATCTAAAGAACAACTGAACAGATCATAAAGATGTAAACTTTCAACCATCTCAAGATCACTGTGACTGTCATGGTATAAGATTTATGTAGCTAAATAGTTGTTAAAAGCACATCATGGAGTTAGAGAAAATTCAGAAGATACCTAGAACATTTACAACATAAACTTCATCGCGCAGAAGCACTTTAATATCTTTTGCAAATCGAGAGAACTGATTCAAAATGGATAAACCTGTCAACCTGCCATATGGAAGAGAGTTGTTGTTAGAAAGAATTGGGCAATTGATAGTGGAGTTTAAATTTGAAATTATGCCTTCCAAGTTTACTTTATAATGTGTAATTCAATGTTCATCAAATGGTCACTAGAAAACCAAGAGGAGACAGTAGGATCTCTAATCCTTTAAGATATGTGATACAGATGGCTATGCGCAAAACAGAAACCATGGCCACCCGTCCTGCCAAAGCCTAGAGTAATAAAGGTTTGACTAAATATTTACATGAATCAGCATCATTAAAGTATCTAAGCTGGAAACTAACAGGGAGTAACTATTTCTAGAGTTTGATTCTGATTCTACTTCTCCACCAGTATTTAACGCGGCCCTTGCCTAGCTTGCACCACCTCAATATATCCAAATAATTTCACACTGGAAATTCAAAGGTAAAAATGTAATGAGGCTCATGACATTTGGCTCACACCACTGAGAGCTGTCATGTAATGATATCAAAGCTGTAATATCAACCATGCACTTGTTTTTCCCCTTTCTTGTCTGTCCTTTTTGCTGGGTCATTCAAGTTGGGAGATTTAATGTTGTATTTAAATGTTTCAACTTGTAAAGAAGCAGTTCTGTCATCATCCTGCTTCCAGATCTCAGGAATCATGACATCGATTGTTTAATCCTACAATCTGAAAATTCATTAGCTTTCCTCAATGAATCCTTTTGGTATCATTAGGTAGGTGGCACTTCATGTTCAGATATCATTGTTATAATTTGAATAGAGAACTTCTCAGTTCAACAGAAAAGATTTGGATAAGGAAAACAAAACATTATATGCTTTGACAATTAATAAGCTGCTAACTTCTTTTTCCTTGATTTGAATATAGTTTCATATTAAAAATAAAATCAAAAAGTCAGACATTACTTAAATCTGCAACCTTATCCATGTTAGAGATGCCAATAAATTTACGATCGTAAAAGATGCATACAAAGCATGAAGGCAAAAGCCATTCACTTTGAAGATTTTCCAGAACCTTGATTACTGACGCCTTCAATTCCAACTGGCACATCACCACTTATAACTGAAGCTTCTGAATCTGTAAACACAATGTCAGAACATTTTATCATTATAGAGCAATTGTTCAATTCTTCCTCATTGAATCAGAATTTAAGTAAAAAATTTCTCAAATCATCCTAAACAAGAAAATACTCACAGTCGGAGTCTAGACGATGACGATGAAGAAGTGAATAACAGTGGCAGACAATGTGGCTTCAACGGCGGCAGGTACTGTGGCTTCAACGGCGGCGGTCTTGGGCGTTTCTTCTGCGAGTTTTTTGAAATCCCTAAACGAAAACGAAATGTACAGTTTCAGAAATTTTTTTTGAAATCCCTAAACAAAAACGAAATGTACAGTTTCAGAAATTTTAAAATTTTTAACATACTATGGACGGCAGTCCAACAAAAATTTCTTATAGTGGGCAGTCCATCTAGTGTGGACGGCTATAAAATGGACGGTCGTTCATACTAATCCATCTATCTAACGTTTTGTTTTGTTTTGTTTTTAAAATTTTAATACTAAATGGACGCCAGTTTATCTACGGCCGTCCACATTAGATGGACACGTGTTCATCCAGTGTGCTTATTTGGATGGTCGTCCATATAATTTGGATGGCTGTTGATATTAAAGGTACGTCCGTCCCTAGTATTTGGATGGTGATCCATTTTATTTTTAAATATTTGTTATAGACTGTCGTCCATTCTGAATGAATGGCTGTCCACGAAGTATGGACGACCATCCAAAAATATTGGACACTCGTCCATTTACAAAAATATTTTATCGTTTCCTATGTGGCGACGTTCGAGTCAAGGCCACGTGTTTCAGTGCAAATTTTCTGCACCCATTTCTAGTGTCTATGGCATTGCTATTTTTAGCCCCCACATAAGGGTAGACTTGGCAAAATGGTATCCGTACCCGCATCAAACAAGTGGGTACAGGTACCCCTATATTTTATCCTTGAGATTTTTACCCGTACCCGGCCTGCCTGTGAAAAATGTGGGTGGGTGCGGGTACCCGCATTTTATTTAAAAAAATAAAACCCTAAAAAGTTAAAACATATTTCCAATCTCTGTCACACACAGATGCCGCGGACACCACATTTCTTATTTCTCCTCTTCTCTCAATTTGGAGTTTTTTTACGCCATCTCACTATCTCAGCATCTCTGATCTCTCTCAGCTCTCATGCAGGCACAGCCATCTCGGCATCTCTCTCACCGTCAACGCCTGGTTCGTTTCTTACATACATTCTGGTTACTTTAGTTTCTGCATTCTGGGTGTTTATTCTTGGTGTACTAGTGTAGTCTGTGTAGAATGATTTACACACAGAGCTACCCATGTGCATTAGCATTGTTGACAGACACGAGAAAGAATGTTAGATTGAATCTCTTTAATTTAAAAGGCTAGTCAATAATAAATCGCTTACTTTAATTAACCAATTCTTATTGAAACTCGTTCGGAATCATATGATTCCAATTTTTTAATTTGAGTGTTGAAGAGCACAATACAATGGGTCTCTCTTCCACCTGTCGAAAGAAGAATAAATTCGATAGAGATAAAGTTGGGGTATATAGCATCGTCGTTAGTATCATACGATACGTGATATGTATCCTATCATATGATTCGATACGGATCACTAACGATATGTATCAGAGAATGTATCTTAAACCTTTCGATACGTTGATATGTATCCTACGATACGATACGTATCCGTTTGTATCCTTAAAAATATCGATATAAATTGATATGACTTTATTAATTTGGGTCAAAGGTCTAAAAAAAATTTCAGGTCGAATTCGGGTCACCCAACCTGGTTCACTAAAACCTACTCAAATTTACCCATTTTGCATGGAGAAAGTGAATAAGAAGATGTGTTACCCATTTTGCATGATAATAATAACACAAGTGAAGTTATAGATATTGACATTGATCTTGGAAATGATATGAATGGTTGAGAGGAAATGATATAAATTCTTAATTTTGTGATTAATTTTGATTGTGCAATACCATAATTTAAAGCTAATAATACCACAAAATTTGTTAATTAGTCATGGGGATGATATTAATTTTTAGAAAAATTATATTATTTTATTAATTTTTTGGAAAAGACATACCCTGCAATACGATATATGTACATGATTCAAAAAATTAGGTTTTCGATATACGATTTAACAACTATGATATACATAATGTTTTGGAAACTTGACTATGTTTTGAAAACTTGACTATTAATTTGTGTCATTATACGTTATCCACTAGCATTTAAAGTGTTAAAAAAACCACATTCATCAACTAAAACATTTGTCTTAATCAGTCAAACAATTGTATTAATAAACAGTAATACTACACTTACCGACTTTTCCCTACCGATTTTCTATCCAGACTGACGTGGCATGTGCCTCTCATTTGCCCTATCAATCCACATCAAATCTGCCTCAATAATTTCATGCCACGTCAGTCTGGATAGAAAATCGGTAGGAAAAAATCGGTAAGTTTAGTATTATTGATTAATAAAACAGACTCAAGTCACTTCTTATGTACCAAAATAGGGGAGGAAAAATGAGCCCCGTCACTGACACCAGTGTCTATCATTTCATTTTTTTTCGTGGCTGTGGTTTGATTTTGATTCTCCTACAAATTTCAATCGAAATTGATGACGCCCACTTGCTGTGCCATTAACCCAAGCGGAGAGAGATCAGTGAATAAGGGTGGCTTTTAACACCGTCAATGTGTAATAGATTTTGTCAATTCGATTGAACAATTACTATGTATGTTTAGTGTTTAATATTTGGTTGAATAATTCTATATGTTTAGTGTTTAATGTTTACTAATTACTATATATGTTTAGTGTTTATGATATATGTATGTTGAAAGTTGAATAATTCTATATGTTTAGTATTTACTTATTAGTAATTACTATGTATGTTTAGTGTTTACTAATTCTATATGGTAAAGTTTGATATAAATATGTGTGTTGAATGTTGATAATGAATTAATGATGTTTGGTCAAATCTAATCTAATCAAATTTAATTTAATCAAGTTTGTGTTTATCCGTTTATTTAATCAAATTAACCAAGTTTTGAAAGCCTAATAAATGAATTTTATACCAAGTTTTTAAACTAATGCAATTTACATCTTTAAGTTTGCAATTTGAATAACAAAAAATAGGGAAAAAAATTACAATTTGAATAACAAAAAGCTGGGTAAAAACAAAAATGCAGAAAATTCCATCTTATGCGGGTGGCCTACGGGTCATGCATTTCTCGACCCGTGGACTCGTGCTCATTTTACCCATTACCTGTTGTTACCCGACCCATACCCACCCAGTCCGCCCGTTTGCCAAGTCTATATAAGGGAAGTGATTTTTATTTTTTAGGTCTCATTTAATTGATCAGTATCACCAATTGTTGAATACACCTCTTCTATAATTAAAAAAAATATCTCTTTAAGCCCCATTTGATGCTGAAAATAATTCTTTAAACTTAATTAGGTTTACTTTCCCCAATTTCAAACTTAATTAGATTTTTTGTTTTACACTATTTTTCTCCAATCTCAAACTTGATTAGGTTTTTTGGTTTTTTTTTTCTTCTTTAGATTCAGATATATCACATTATGTGCAAAACCAGCAACTTCCTAGAAAAACATATCCATAAGTAATTCATGTTATATGAACAAGACAACTTCATGTTATATGACATAATTGATAGTCTGACGTGGTAAATGCCAATGATGGGAAAAAAAGATGCAAGCTGAGTTGACACTAAAAATAAGCATTTAAGTTGACTGTAATACACATTCATGGGTAAAAAAGATTCCTTAGCCAGTATATTCAACTTTGGGCATGTTAAAACAATCCATCTAACACAAGTTCAGGTAGATTCTATCATGATTATCAGGAGACTAATGAAAAGCACATGGGCCCGTAATCAGCCTAACTAATACAACCCCAAGCTCTATAAGACCACACCAGGGAGAAATGAAAGATATCCACTTTGTGCTAAACTAAATCATTTCAAAATTTTCCCCACACTAAATTTTATTACAGGAGCACCTATATTCTCTAATATGGACCAGATTCACTAACTGAATGCCTACATTTAGGCCAGGGCATGAGCAAAGTGGAATGGTTAGCGAGGTTCATGATTTAGCTTGAAGCAAGCTCAGCCAATTAACTCTTTATTGTTTTTAATTCAAACTGGGAAAATGAGGCAACCACTTGTCTCCCAAGAAAACTTCGTCAAAAACAACATTCACAGCAAAACAGGAGCTCCAAAATTGAAGAAAAACCAGGTCATACAAGAGACATCAAATCCTCAAAAGTCACCAATGCACAATTAATAAAAGCTACAAAACTCAGATGAACAACCTAGATTCATTAAATCTAAAACACAGCACAACTTCACAACTTTCAAAAACCCAAATCTCATAAACAAGCCATGAATTCAACCATCTAAAGAACAATTGAACAGATCATAAAGATGTAAACTTTCACCATCTCAAGATCACTGTGACTGGCATGGTATAAGATTTATGTACTAAATAGTTGTTAAAAGCACACCATGAGGTTAGAGAAAATTCAGAAGATACCTAGAAATTTCCAACATAACTTCATCGCGCAGAAGCACTTTAATATCTTTTGCAAATCGAGAGAACTGATTCAAAATGGATAAACCTGTCAACCTGCCATATGGAAGAGAGTTGTTGTTAGAAAGATTGGCAATTGATAGTGGAGTTTAAATTTGAAATTATGCCTTCCAAGTTTACTTTATAATGTGTAATTCATGTTCATCAAATGGTCACTAGAAAACCAGAGGAGACAGTAGGACTCTAATCCTTTAAGATATGTGATACAGATGGCTATGCGCAAAACAGAAACCATGGCCACCCGTCCTGCCAAGCCTAGAGTAATAAGGTTTGACTAAATATTTACATGAATCAGCATCATTAAAGTACTAAGCGGGAACTAACAGGGAGTAACCATTTCTAGAGTTTGATTCTGATTCTACTTCTCCACCAGTATTTAACGCGGCCGTTGCCTGCTTGCACCACCTCAATATATCCAAATATTTCACACTGGAAATTCAAAGGTAAAAATGTAATGAGGCTCATGACATTTTGGCTCACACCACTGAGAGCTGTCATGTAATGATACAAAGCTGTAATATCAACCATGCACTTGTTTTTCCCCTTTCTTGTCTGTCCTTTTGCTGGGTCATTCAAGTTGGGAGATTTAATGTTGTATTTAAATGTTTCAACTTGTAAAGAAGCAGTTCTGTCATCATCCTGCTTCCAGATCTCAGGATCATGACATCGATTGTTTAATCCTACAATCTGAA